GGCTCCCTGCTCTGCAGGAAACCTGCTTCTCCCTCTTCTACTCCCCCTGCTTGTGTTCCCTCTCTCGCTGTGTCTCTCTCTGTCAAATAAATAAATAAAATCTTAGAAAATATATATATATATATTTCAAATTTATAGAAAAGTTGCAACAACAGTAGAAAAATTTCCATACTCCCCTCACTCAGAGATCCCATTCAAATTTCAGCACCTGTCTCAATGTCCTTCTTGGCAAAAGGGTTCAAACCAGGAGCACAGATTGTACTTGTTTCTTCAGTTTCCTTCAATCCGGCACAATTCCTCAGTTCTCCCTTGACTTGACCTTTACGACTTTCATATTTTTGAGGGTTGCAGGAAAGCTATTTTATACAATGTGCTTCCATTAGGATTTGTCTGGTGTTTCTTCCTGATCAGATTGGTGTCATACATCTTTCGCAGGAGTATCACTGAAATAATGCTGTTCTTCATGCTGCAGCCTCTCAGGTAATGCCAAGTTCCGGGTGTGGCCTCTCACCAGCTACCAATACATACTTTAGCCAAGGGGCCTCAGAAATGAAATATTAAGCTAATTGCAACCTATCTACTAGTTTCATTAATTGTTCAATGCAGGGTTGTAATATTCTAGGTGCCAGAAATCATTCGGGAAACCCTAGAGAAGAAAGAAAAAGAATATTTTCTTTTTTTTTTTCTAAAGATTTTATTTATTTATTCATGAGAGAGAGAGAGAGGCAGAGGGAGGAGCAGGCTCCCAAGGAGCAGGGAGTCCGATGCAGGACTCGATCCCAGGACCCTGAGATCATGACCCGAGCCGAAGGCAGACGCTCAACCATCTGAGCCACCCAGGTGCCCGAAAAAGAATATTTTCTTATTCAGAAGGAAACATAACAACTACAAATTAGTTCCCAATTTGGTGGCTTCTAGGTTTGACATTACATTTATTACCCAAGTATAGTTGACCCTTGAGCAATGCAGGGGTTTGGGACATCAACCCCCATGCAGTCAAAAATCCACGTATAACTTTTGACTCACCAAAACTTAACTACTAATAGCCTATTGTTGACCGAAAGCTGTACCATAACATATAAACAGTTGATTAACACATATTTTGCATGTTACATGTATTATATATTATATTCTTACAGTAAAATAAGCTAGAGAAAAGAAAATGTTATTAAGAGAGTTGTAAGAGAAAATACATGTAAGGTACTGAACTGTAAAAAACCCACACATATGTGCACCTGTTCAAACCCATGTTGTTCAGCCGGACTTTGTTTTCCTCTGTTCTAAAGAATTGTCTTTAAAAAGAAAATAATTACAAAGAAAGAATAAAGTAACATCTTCCACTCATTAAAAAAAATAATTAAGGGCGCCTGGGTGGCTCAGTTGGTTAAGCGACTGCCTTCGGCTCAGGTCATGATCCTGGAGTCCCGGGATCGAGTCCCATGTCGGGCTCCTTGCTTAGCAGGGGGTCTGCTTCTCCCTCTGACCCTC